TGCATCCACCTGAGTTCCCCCAGAGTGGTGGGGAAAGGGGAAAATAAGATAATAGATGCCAAACTCATCAGACCCGGGTAGCCTAGTTAAAATGAAAACTTCATTAAAAATTAAGAATCAGCCAGGCGCGGTGGCTCACACCTGTAATCCCAGCAGTTTGGGAGGCTGAGGCAGGTGGATCACTTGAGGTTGGGAGTTCAAGATCAGCCTGATCAACATGGAGAAACCCTGTCTCTACTAAAAATACAAAATTAGGTGGGCGTGGTGGCACATGCCTGTAATCCCAGCTACTGGGGAAGCTGAGGTTGGAGAATCACTTGAACCCGGGAAGTGGAGGTTGCAGTGAGCCAAGATTGCACCGTTGCACTCCAGCCTGGGCAACAAGAGTGAAATTCCGTCTCAAAAAAAAAAAAAAAAAAAGCCGGGCGCAGTGGCTCACACGTATAATCCCAGCACTTTGGGAGACTGAGGCAGGTGGATCACTTGAGGTCAGGAGTTCAAGACCAGCCTGGCCAACATGGTGAAACCCCCATCTCTACTAAAAATACAAAAATTAGCCAGGCTGGTGTCAGGCATCTGTAATTCCAGCTACTCAAGAGGCTAAGGCAGGAGAATCGCTTGAACCCGGGAGGTAGAGGTTGCAGTGAGCTGAGATTGCACCACTGCACTCCAGCCTGGGCGACAGAACAAGACTCCGTTAAAAAAAAAAAAAAAAGAATACTGGAGATTCTGCAGTTCTAGGTCTGGAGGAGGACTTAGGACTCAAGGACTCTAAAAAGAGGCACATGTTGAGAATTCCTGGACCAGTAAAGACATTGCCATTCCAAACTGCATGACCTTGGGCAAGTAACGTCACCTCTGTCAGCCTCCCCTGTGAGGTTGGGGTGATATTGACGCCCACTGTGTAAGACGGTTGCCGGTGTCCTCATAGCAGCAAATGCTTAGTGGTGCTTATCATGTTCCTCACACTGCTCTGTTTTACAGATTGAGAAACTGAGGCACAAACGGGTTCGATGGCACAGCTAGTAAGTGGCAGACCTGGGTTCATACTGAGGCAGTTCGGCTCCAGAGTCTCATCTCTTAACCTCTAGACCAGTGGCTCTCAAAATGTGTTTCAGGGGGACTCCTGGAGGTTTCCAAAAACCCTTTCAGGCCATCCGTGAGGTTAGAGTGGTTTTCATCATCATTCTGAGACATGACTTTCTTTCGTCACCCTCTTTTCTTGCATGAGTATACAGTGCAGTTTTCAGAGGCTGCGTGGCCCATGATCATGTTGTCATTCAGGGAGCTAATGGAAGGCGTTGTTTGTGTATTCTTGTGTTTTAAAAATTTCTCGGCTGGGTGTGGTGGCTCACACCTGTTATCCCAGCACTTTGGGAGACCAAGGCAGGAGGATTACTTCAGTACAGGAGTTTGAGACCAGCCTGGATCAAATAGTGAGACCTCATCTTTACAAAAAATTAAAAAAATAAATTAGCTGGGTGTGTGGTGGCACATGCCTGCTAGTCCCGGTTACTCAGGAGGCTGAGGTGGGAGGATTGCTTGAATCTGGGAGATGTGAGGCCGAAGTGAGCTGAGATCACGCCATTGCACTCTAGCCTGAGCGATAGAGCGAGACCCGGTTTCAAAAATCTTTTCTTCCACTTTTAATTTCTAACATGGTAAATACCGATAGCTGTAATCCACATAAACAAAACTCTTTGGCGTCCTCCATAACATTGGGAGCGAAAAGGGTTCCTGAGACCAAAAAGTTTGTGTTGTTGGAGGCTGTGTTACCTTATTAAATGTGATACTTGTTGAACATCTGGTGGCACCTCCCATGGTAAGCAGCTGGGCGGGGGAGTTGGTGCCCGTCCCAGGGAATCTCGGCTCTTCTCGGGGCCTCCCCACACGTGAGACCTCCGAGTATGAGACTGAGTCCTGAACCTGCTGGACAGATGGTGGTGCTGACTGTGCTGTGTGTGTGTGGTCGGCCAGCTGCCCGCGACAGAGCTTCCGTCCTCCACTTGGCTGCACCAGTGGTGCTGTGCCCTGACTGCGGAGTGAGCAGATGCTTGGTGGCGGGCCTCCCCTGGGGTGGAGCCGGTGTGGGTGCAGCTGCTGTGGCCCGGCAAGTCCTGTTCCAGGCCTGGCACCGAGCCAGCACTTTGCCTGTGCTATTCCACTGAACCTCGTACCCGCCCTGTGAGGGAGGTGCTGCTGTGAGTCTCATTTTACTGGTGAAGAACTCAAGGCTCAGGGAGGTTCCACCTGTGCGAGGGGCAGGGCCTGGACTCGAGCTGTCTCTGGCTGGCTGGGGCCTGCGCCCCTGATGTGTTTCGGTATCTCCTGTTTGTGGCCAGTTCATTTGGGTTTGGATTTGGAGGGTGCTGCCAGTGTTCCCCACAGAGTTCTGCTCCAGCCCAGGCCAACTGCAGGCTGCTCTTCCACTGCTCCACTGCCAGCTTTTACTTCTTTTTTTTTTCTTCTTTTTTTTTGAGACCGAGTCTCTCTCAGTTGCCCAGGCTGGAGTGCAGTGGCATGATCTCTGCTCACTGTAACCTCTGCCTCCCGGGTTCAAGTGATTCTCCTGCCTCAGCCTCCTGAGTAACTGGGATTTAGGCATGCGCCACCACGCCAGGCTGATTTTGTATTTTTAGTAGAGACAGGGTTTCACCATGTTGGCCAGGCTGGTCGCGAACTCCTGACCTTAGGCGATCTGCCTACCTCGGCCTCCCAAAGTGCTGGGATTACAGGCATAAGCCACTGCGCCTGGCCCAGCTTTAACTTATTTTCATTATTTTATTTCATTTTACAATTTTTACAATCAGATGCTATATTGCCTAGGCTGGTCTTGAACTCGTGGCCACAAATGAGCCTTCCATCTTGATCTCCCAAAGTGTTGAGATTACAGGTGTGAGCCACCATGTCTGACCTGGCTCTGGGGCTTTTAGACCAAGGGTTTTGGAGCAGTAAGGTGATGTGTGGACAGAATGCAGGTTTGAATTTTGGCTCTGCCGTTTGCTGGCTGTGACTCTAACCTTTCTGATACCCTGTCTGCATATGACATGGCTGGCTGCTACCTCTCCTTGTTAGGGGAGAACAGCACAGGGAAAACTGACGTTGTCCTTGCTCAGAAACCAGGGATCTCCACTGTGATATGACTGGCATGGAGCTGTTATCTTCCCAAAATCTGGCCCTGGACCAACTGTGTCAGTCTCTCCAGGAGGAATTCCAGATTTCTGGACCCTGCCCTGACCTACTGATGCAAAGCTCTGTGGGAGGGGCCGGCCACCTGTATCCTCAGTGAGCTTTCCCGGCATTCAGGTGCACACTGAAGTTTGGCAATCCCTGCTTAGAGGTTGGGGCCACTTTTAACCCTCAGGACATAGCAAACACTGGTCACGTCCCTGTATGGGTAGCTCTTTATCAGTGGCCATATGATTTGTTGTTTAAACCAGGGCACCCTTGAGCGGGTGGGGGGTCCCCTGAGGAGTGCACTGGGACTTCCTGGTACATGGGAACATGTGTCGTTTCTCAGTCCTCCTTTTATCTTTCTGATGGCCCTAGGAGATGTCATTCCCTTCCTGCTGCGAATGGGGAAACTGAGGCCTGGAGAAGGTTGCATCTGACCACACAGCTGTAACCTTGGTCTTTGATTCTAGAACGCCTTCTCAGCTGGGTTGTCAGCCTTGGCTCACCCTAGCTGAGTCTTGGTGCAGGTGGGCTGTGGAGGACCCTAGATTTCTGTAGTGCTGGAATCTTTTGAAAACTAACATAACCTTTATAATGAGAAAAACCAACGTGAAAGCTATGGAGCCGGACATGGTGGCGCACACCTGTAATCCCAGCGCTTTGGGAGGCCAAGGCAGGAGAATCGTTTGAGCCCAGTAGTTCGAGACCAGCCTGGGCAAACTAGTGAGACCCTGTCTCTACAAAAAATGTAAAACTTAGCTGGAGGTGGTAACGCACGCCTATAGTGCCAATTATCAGGAGGTTGAGGTGGGAGGATCATCTGAGCCCAGGAAATCAAGGCTGCAGTGAGCCCTGTTTGTGTCATTGCTCTCCAGCCTAGGCAACAGAGCAAGACCATGTCTAAAAAAAAAAAAAGCAAAAAAAAAAAGCTATGGAATGCACCTCTGGAAAAGATACCAGAGAAAATGGAGGACCCTGTCAGCAGAAAGGAAGCAGGTGCTGGGTGTATTTGTGCTTCCTGTCTTCAGTCCCTGGGGTTCCCTCCTGGGCCTGGCTGTGACCCATCTACCACACAGACAATCGATAGCCCTCTAGGCAGAGTGATGGAGAGGGCCGCTGACACCAGCTGTCCGTCAAAGCAGATGTCCTCTTTAGGTCAGTCAATTTCCTTCCTTCCTGATTGCCTGCGAGGCCAACTGGCTGATTTTTTTTTTTCCTGCTCCTATGAGGATGCGCATATGACAGTCCATTTTGGTGACACATGGAGAGGGCTGCAGTTGAGGGGAATTCTGGAGGGAAACCTGAGGTTTCTGGAGTACTAAATGTAACAAGCAGTGACATAGTTGAAGCGGTGATGTCGAAGCCAGCAAAGCCCCCATGTGAGGAGCTTGGTGTATTTTTGGTTCAGACAGAAATAGACACCTACCAGAGGACATGATGGCATCAGTGCTTGCAGGCAGCCTTGGGCCAGACTTAGTCTCTGTCCCTGCTGCCTGGCCCTCTCCTCCTGCCTTTTCCTCTCTGCTCCTTGGGGAGCTCCATCTAGCACCCGAGGATTGTGGTTTTGCTTCTGGCTGCAAGTACTTTCACATATCCTGTTGCTCAGGAGAGGGTGGAGGGAGCAGCTCCTTGGTCTCCCTGGGGAGGGGGTGGGCTGAGCCGCAGGAACGTGCTCTCAGAGATCTCTGCCCCTCCTCGAGCCTCCCAGTGGAGTGGTATTATCGCAGGAAAACTCCGGTTTGTTTTTAATCAATCATATGTACAGGCTCGGGGGTCCCTTCCTGTTGGGCTGCCCGTTCGTTACTTTGGTGTCGCTGTGTTCACAGGGAAGGATGGAGACGCTGAAGGATAAGACCCTGCAGGAGCTGGAGGAGTTGCAGAATGACTCGGAGGCGATTGACCAGCTGGCCCTGGAGTCCCCTGAGGTAGAAGGAGGCTGGTATGGGGCCCGACAGAGGCCAGCAGATGAGGCTTGTTAAGAGGCATTTGTGAAGGATGCTGGCTTATTGGAAGTTTTGGCCAAATTCATCCCCCTTTTCTGTGAACTTCATCCTGGTTTGGACTCAGAGGAATCCCTGAGGCTTCAGACCAGTTCCTGGGAGTTCTTGGCAGTGCTGGGGAGTCCACGCCTCCTGGTGCCTTCCCAGGACCCGGATGCCCCAGGAGTCCCCACACTGTCGTTCCAGCCCAGATCTGGAGGCAGCTCCTCAAAGCACTGGCATGGTTTTGTACCCACTTTTCCCCAAGAGCCTTGTGCGATCCCATGTCTCCAGGTGACTCTAGGCTTCTAGGAGCCATTCTCGGGCTGAGATCTGGCTCATCTCCCATTGGATCCTGTTTCTCCTCTTAACTCCTCCCTAATCCTCTCGCTCTTAATCACAGAGTCCCTGTGGAAACAAACAGAATCCTGCCTGTGCAGAGATTTACACTTAATGAAAGATGTTCCCTGCCCCTAGTGTCTCCTGTGACCCTGGGATGTCCCCTGCGAGATGGGAGAGGTCAGGCCACACAGCCAGAAATACCCACGGTCACACATTGAGTGACTGCAGCTCATCCGTTGTTCTGGAAGCTCCCACTTCTGTCCCTAATGTGAGGGAGAGACACGAATGCAAGTCATGCCAGCTCATTTGATTTGTATTTGGAGTACATGTTTGCTTGCACGGATGAGCAGGTATGGTGCATCTCTTCTGTGAACATGTAGTATTTTGAAAGAAATAATGACGCTCCCCCATCCAGTGTCTCTGCACTTCCATGCCATGGCGGGGCGCGAGGCCAGTGAGTCCCCTGCTCCTGTTCTGGCTTGCACTCTTGCTGCCTGCTGCCTGCTCTGCTTCCTAAGTGAGGAATCTTCACTGGGATGGAGGTGACTGAGCATTGGGTTGAAAAGACCTCCTGGTGGGCAGATTGTGAGGAGAGGTGGACACCATGGGGCACATCCTGCCACCCTAGGGCTTTTTCAGTCCTCAGCAAGGATGTGGAGCAAAGCTTGCTTGTCGAAGCCCCAGGGCCGACTCAAATGGCCTGTGAGGCTGTGAGCTCTGCCAGGGCATTGCTCCTGCCTGGCCTGGTGCTAGGCACAGTGCGGCTCTGCCTGCATTCCTTTGTCATATATGAAGCACTGTGAGCGTGGTGCCATGGGAAGCCCAAGGCCTGCCTCTAGAGTGTGCAGAGCTGAGCAGGCGGACAGAATCGTGACAAAGCAGAGAATCATGGGAAATGTGAGCAGAAGCGACCTCTTGGGCAGAAGGCATTTGAATTTTGTGGTGTGCAGCCACACCTGTCCCATCGATCTGAACTCTCTGAGGGAAAAAAACACTCGTGGATCAGGTGGAAATGAAGCAGGACAAGCCACTTAGACTTCAGACCACTGGCAAACTTTTTTATCGTGGGCTGTAAGACAGTAATTGAGTCACTGTGGGTTTGTGAGAAGAGACAGGAGCTCTCTCTTAGTTTGGGGCATGGACGCGGCTTGGAGAGAAGGGAGGTGGCAGGGGCTCTCCATGTAGAAGAGTGTGCATGGAGGAGGGTGTGGAGGGGAGCTGCTTTGGAGGGGGGGCCAGATGTAGAAAGGAAACACTGTAGCTTAGTAAGGATAGTTAGTCAGAATGGTTTTATCTCCCACTTTGCAATTTTTTAAAATTTTTATTTTTTTAGGCAGGGTCTTACTTTGTTGCCCAGGCTGGAGTGCAGTGGCACCATCATGGCTCACAGCAGCCTCGACCTCCTGAACTCAAACAGCCCTCCCACCTCAGCCTCCCAAGTAGCTGGGACTACGGGTGCACACCACCACACCTGGCTAATTTTTAAATTTTACATAGCAACTTTTAAGAACTTAGATACTTCTTGTGGAGTTTTGCTGTAGATTCAAAGAAAATTGATAATTATCTATAAAGGTTAGTAGCGACTCCTTCCTTTTCTAGCTATGTATCTGTATGAGTATAGATTCTTCCTGCTTATTTCCACCAAAGTAATATACTAGGACAGATTGAATTCAGAAGCAGCAAAACATGTGAAAACAGCTTTTATTTACCTATTTTTAGTCTTACCTCTTTTCAGTAACTGGGAGGACTTCACACTGAACCTCTAATATGCATCAATATGCAATTTTTAAGATTGATGCATATTTTGCATATTTATGGGGTAGATCCGAGTCTTTGTTGCATGCATAGAATGTGTGATGATCAGGCTGGGCGCAGTGGCTCACGCCTGTAATCCCAGCACTTTGGGAGGCTGAGGTGGGTGGATCACCTGAGGTCAGGAGTTCGAGAGCAGCCTAGCCAACACGGTGAAACCCCATCTCTACTAAAAATACAGAAATTAGCTGGGCATGGTGGCACATGCCTGTAGTCCCAGCTACAAGGAAGGCTGAGGCAGGAGAATCGCTTGAACCCAGGAGGCAGAGGTTGCAGTGAGCCGAGACTGTGCCATTGTACTCCAGCCTGGGCAACAGAGCGAAGCTCTGTCCAAAAAAAAAAAAAAAAGAATGTGTAATCATAAGGTCAGGGCATTTGGGGTCTCCATCACCTTGAGTATTTGTGGCTTCTGTGTGTTGGGAACATTTTATGCTTCTTGCTACTTTGAAATATACTATGCATTGTTGCTGACCATAGTTACCCTACTCTGCTGTTGAACATTGGAACTTATTTCTTCTAACTGTATGTTTCTACCCATTGACCCACTTCATGGAGAAAGATGTCAGAAGGCTGTGGGGACCGGGAGCAGAAATAAGTAGGGCAAGATTTAGGGGAAAATGATACAGCGTAGATTTGTTGGTTTAGACGCAACGAAAAGGCAGTGGACGTATAGGAAGGCCAGAGGATCCATGGGGCCCTGCAAGGGATGGGTGAGCAGGAGGGCTTTAGGCCTTTCACTCTGGGTCAGCCATGTAAATAAAGTTTCCATGGCTAATAAAAATTAGATTGAGAGTCACATATGGTGGTTACTGCCTGTAATCCCAGCTATTGGAATGATGAGATGGGGGGATTGCTTGAGGCCAGCCTGGGCAACATAGGGAAACCCCATCTCTACAGAAAATGAAAGAACTTAGGCGTGGTGGTACGTGCCTGTAGTCCCAGCTACTGGAAGGGCTGAGGCTGAAAGATTGCTTGAGCTCAGGAGTTCGAGGCTGCAGTGACCTATGGTCATGCCACTGCACTCCAGACGACAGAATGAGACCATGTCTCTAGAAGGCAGTAGCGTGGGCTCTAGGCTGGATAGACCCCTGGGCCCTACAATCCCTGAACCATGGCAGCTTCGTCTGGAGGGCTCAGGAAGGGCAGGGAGCTGTGGCATTCCTCTTTCCAATCTGGAGCACAAAGAAGAGGCTATGGGCCTGCCCCAGAGTGCAGGGCCTAGGCCCCTGTAGCTGGGACAGCAGGAGGGGCAGCCTTTCCCTGAAGCCTCCTCTTTCGGAATGCCCACGGGCTTCCTATGTCTGGTGGGGCATGAGTCAGTCCGGCTTGGTCTGTCACACGCTGACCATGGTGGAGAAGCTGCACAGTGAGGGCGTGACTCAGAGTCGGTCTTGCTGAGCTGTTCCCTGCACCCTGTGACAGGTGCCGAGGCCTGTCTTCTGGTGCCCCATGCTGCTGTCAGTGTACTGTCACCGCTGGCTCAGCGTGCGGGTCTGGCTCCTCAGCCCTCCTCTCAGGAGAGGACTCTTTGGTGGATTCATGGGGCATGAGATCACAGCAGCTGGGAAGGGTGCCTTGGCTTCTGCCTCACTGGCTGGCAGTGACGAAGAGCTGGCAGAGGAGTAGTGTGCCACTTGGCTTGGGGAAGTGTTTGCAGCAGGGAATGTCCAGGGTGGCCCCTCTGGCTCATCTGTGCAGCTTCTCTGCAGGACACATGTGCCGCGTAGGAGGCAGGTCCAGGTCTCTCCTAAGTCAGTGGCATGGTCTGGTCCAGGGCCCTGGCTCTCTCACCCCTCACAATAACTTTATTTGGGGCCTCATTGCATGTCTTGCCTGTGCATCTGGTCAGGGCCACCTGAGTCCACCATGGTAGGTCTCTTCACTCTGAAGCTTGGGGATAAGTAATTGGGACTTTTGGTCCCTTCCCAGAAAGCCTCTGATTTTCTCATGTAAATTGGTCCAGCCCCTCCTTGGGGCTCTGCATACTCCATTGTGGATATCAGTCACGTGGCCTTGGGCGAGCTTTTCACCTTTAGCTCCAGGTTCCCATGCGTCTCCACCTCGTGGCTGTGGGTTAAAAGATTAAGTGAGGTGCAGAGTACTTCGTTCAGGGTTTGAACCTGGCTTTGTCTGACTAGTTGAGGGCTGAGTATCGCCCACGGATGAGCCTCTCCACCCCAAGGTGAGGATGTGCCCCGAAGGCCCTGACCCAGGCTGCCAGGAGGTTCAGGGTGATGGATGTTTTCCTTAGGTTCTGTTGTCCTGTCCTTTTAGGTCCAGGACCTGCAGCTGGAACGGGAGATGGCACTGGCCACCAACCGGAGCCTGGCGGAGCAGAACTTGGAGTTCCAGGGCCCCCTGGAGATCAGCCGCTCAAACCTCTCAGATAAATACCAGGAGCTCCGGAAGCTTGTGGAGCGGTGCCAGGAGCAGAAGGCAAAGCTGGGTAGGGTGGCTCCTCTGTGAACTCAGGGTCCCCATTCAGGGTTGGATGGGGCTGAGCAGCTGGAACAGCATGAAGGATGGATTCCCTGTCCCCTCCGCAGGATGGGCAAGGCCCATAGCTACTGAGGCCCACCGTGTTCCCAGCCCTGTGCTAAGTGGTTTATGTACAGTTTTTGACAACAGCCGTAGAAGGGTGGGTACTGTTGTTACTCCGTTTTGTAGGTAAGAAAAATGAGGCTCAGAGAGATTCAAGAACTTGGCTACGGTCACCCAGCTTAGAAACAGGTGAAGATGGGATTTGAATCCAGACAGCCTGCATCCTTTGCTGCCGCTGTTACCTCTGGCAGCTCGACTTCTGTGCTTTGCTGAGCTGCTCCTGAGCTGCTCTGGGCTCTTTGTGTCCCAGGACCTGTCACGTTTGAAGGTGGGAGGGCAGTCCTCCTCCTGATGGTGAGACAGCTTGACGCTCAGGTTAGGTGACTCCCCTGGCTGGCAGGCAGAACCGGGTCGGTCGGGCTCTGAAGCCCGAGTCGTTTCCCTTCCCAGGATGGTACAGGGGAGGCTTGGCCAAGGTCGAGGCTGGGTTCAGTCGGGCCCTTCTCTGCTCAGAAAAGTAGTCTAAGGAACTGGACCAAAAGTGCCCATCAAGCCCACCCGAAAGGACCCTTTGGTGGACCCTGGGGTGGTGGCTGGGCCTGGATGCACACAGAGGGCATGCTAAGTGCCTTTAACACCAAATCAGGAAGCACTTTTCAAATGCCAGTCGTTCTGCCCTCCCTCCTCCCTTCCAGAGAAATTTTCTTCAGCACTGCAGCCAGGGACCTTGTTAGACCTTCTGCAGGTGGAAGGCATGAAGATTGAAGAAGAGTCTGAGGTGAGAGGGCGAGGCGACACCCCCCTTCCCTCGACGGGGTGTCAGTCTCTGCAGCAGGGGCCCTTGGAAGGAGGAGCAGATGTCTGCAAAGCATGGGACAAAGGAACGTTTGTAGATGGCAGAGGTGAAGGACATCTTTAGTCCTGGGGAGGCCTTTTGGGTACAAATAACAGGAACTCAGTCCCCCTAGCTGAAGCAGAAACGAGTGATAGTGGACAAGGGCAGCTTGCAGCCCTGGATGAGAGGGCAGCACAGCAGGAGGCCCCCAGGGGCTGAGGCCAGCCCCCTACTCTGCTCTCCTTACTTCTCGCTTCCGTCCGGGCCACCTCTTCAGCCTCTGTGGGCAAACTGGTGCTGTCCACTTTGGGTAGAAGAAGCTTCCAGGCCCTGCCAGTCCCTGGGCTAGTGCTCGGCCAGGTGTTCAGTACATACATGCAGTGGCCACTGTGGGCCTGGCCTGATGCCAGGGTGCCAGGACAGAGGTGGCCATGACAGAGGCAGTTCTCGCCCTCGAGGGACTGACGTTCTAGTGAGGGAGACAGTGCATGTACCATCTGTCAACTGTGAGAAGGGGCATACGGCCAGGGAGGAGGAGGGGGTGCCTGAGGCAGCGCGAGGTGGGAGGGCTGTAGCTGAATTTGGACCCTGGGGAAAAACAAGAGACCTTGATCCCAGCCGGCCCCTGTTGTCACTGGCGTGTCTTCCAGGCCATGGCTGAGAAGTTCCTGGAGGGCGAGGTGCCCCTGGAAACGTTCCTGGAGAATTTTTCCTCCATGAGGATGCTGTCCCACCTGCGCCGGGTTCGCGTGGAAAAGCTCCAGGAAGTGGTGAGGAAGCCCAGGGCTTCCCAGGAGCTGGCCGGCGATGCGCCCCCACCCCGCCCGCCACCCCCGGCGCGCCCAGTCCCCCAGGCAACGCCGCCTGTGGTTGAAGAGCAGCCGCAGCCACCATCAGCCATGCCTCCCTACCCTTTGCCCTACAGCCCGTCCCCCAGCCTGCCTGTGGGCCCCACTGCCCATGGAGCCCTGCCACCGGCCCCTTTCCCGGTGGTGTCCCAGCCCTCCTTCTACAGCGGGCCTCTGGGCCCCACTTACCCGGCAGCCCAGCCTGGACCCAGGGGTGCCGTGGGTTACTCCTGGTCCCCACAGAGGAGCACGCCACCCCGGTCGGGCTATCCTGGGACCCCGACTGGCACCTCTGGGCCTGGGTACCCCTTGGCGGGAGGCAGGGCCCCCAGTCCTGGTTATCCTCAACAGTCTCCATACCCTGCAACAGGAGGAAAACCTCCCTACCCAATACAGCCCCAGCTCCCCAGCTTCCCAGGCCAGCCCCAGCCCTCATTGCCCCCGCAGCCCCCTTATCCCCCCGGGCCCGCCCCTCCCTATGGGTTTCCACCGCCCCCGGGGCCTGCCTGGCCTGGGTATTAGCCGTACTCCTGGCCCTCTGCCCCTCCCGAGTCCCACCCACGCTCAACCTTTGGCCCAGCCATCGCCGAGATTCGAGGGTCAACTGGAGGTGGCGTTGGTGCTCCCTGTGGACTTGCGTTGGCACCCAGAGGCTTTGGAGGGACAAGGCACTGGGCAGTGTGACTGGTCACGGCACTTGCTGGCCTTCTGGCCAGAGGTCCTCCTAGAAGCCCCTACTTTCAGTGCCTGGCTGCAGCGGTGCTAGCCAGGCTGGCATCCGGCACCTCTCGCCAGTGTCTGTGTGAGTGAGCGTGTGCGCACATTTATGAGCATCTACTTGCGGCTGCGCTCAGGGCCATCTGAACCCAGTGCAGAGTTATCTCGATGAGGAGGCCCCGGGTCTCCAGCCCCTCCGGCTCCCCTGGGGTTTGGCGTATTTGACGTGGAGCCCCATGCCAAGGGATGCAGCTGTTGGTGTCTGTCCAGTCCGTTCAAGGCTAGCCTGCCCACGCACTGTGGCAGGGGTTGGATTGGAGAGAGAGAACAGAGTTGGGAAAAACAACAGGTTTGAGTCCTATAAAGCCATAATTTAACTCCAGTACCTGATGTCAGACAAGCTTGTCCTGTGTCCTGTTTGAGTGGCGGCAGCGCCAGCGCAGCAAGAAGGCTGGGGGTCGTGAAGATTGTCCCCAGACCTTGCTTGCACTATTTGGAGAACCCAGGGGGCTGCCTTGGGTCCTCTGGCCAGAGGGAAGGGAGCAGCTCTAGCCCTGGAGATTGTGGTCACATTGGGGCTCGTTTAGGAGTGGAGGGCCAGGTCACCTCCCCAGCCACCCTTCTCTCCTCTGGGACCCCCCACTTTAGGGTGACTTTGCCCGAGGCCTATGCATCCATCCACTCCTTTAGTGCCTTGAATCTCATTCACAAGCAGCCCCCTCCCTTTCCCTCCCCTGCCCCTGACTCCTTTGATGGAATCCTCCCACCCCCAGTGTCCATCCTAAGGCATCAAAAGAGGCCCTAACGTAACTTCCCAAATGGTGCTTTTTAAAAAACACCATCACTACATAGGGGCAGTTTTTTCGCACCTCCCTGTCTTCAGAATGTAAAGGGTGGGGATTATGGCTCTGTGTAATATGCAGCCCCCTGCACTGTGGGGTTTGGGGCGTGTTCAGTAATCAGAATGAAGACAATAGACAAAGGGGTGTGATGAGTGTTAACTTGGTTGTTCCAGAGGTAAACCAGGTCTCAGGGAAGAGCCTGGAGCTGCTATTGCTTAGGAAGTTGTACGTGCCTTGAAATGTCCACTACCTGAGGACCCAGCGTCTGGTGGGCCCGGGGCTGCTGGGGCCAAGGAGGGACCTTGACCTTCTGGTGCCTGCCCCTCCCCGGCCTACGTGCCATCTGTGTGACGCTCGGTCAGCGGTGCCGGTTCTTTACCAAATGTGCTTGCTTCTCCTAAGTTATTTATAAAGAGAAATCACTAATGGACTCTACTGGTTTGAGTGCTTCTGAGCTGGATGACCGACCGCCTGTATGTATGTGTAATTAATTGCCATAATAAACTTTGATGAGTCACATGTGGTGTGGTGTTGGTGGGTTTGAGTGAAGACGTGGCTGCATGTGGGTGCCTTGATTTCTTCTGCGGCCTTCAGATCGTGCTCTGTGGAGGGGCCTCTGTGATTCACGCCCCAAAGCCCCATCCGTCTGGATGTCAGCCCTCCCCTGCCTGCTCACCCCAGGGCTGGCCCTGGGAGCATTTACCTTCCCTCTCCTGCTCTTCCACTTTCCTTCTTAGCGGTTTTACTGTTGGAGCCTGAGTTTTGCCTTGTCCTGGACCGAGAGCAATGGTGTGCAAGGCCACAGGATGTCACGAGGGGGCGTCTGGTCCTCAGCCCGCTCGGGAGGTGCCGTGATCCTGCCACCTGCCGGTCTGGCGGGACGTCGGCATGTCAGCCTGTCTGAGACCCATCTAATTCTAACCTGGGCTTGCAGGATGTGCTCAGAGGGACAGCGGGCCGCTAAACTGGCTGCGGCACCAACGGTCTTCTAGGCTTTGGCCCAGCCTGCCTCCGTCCCCAGTGTCGCCCTGAGGTCTGCTGCTGAGCTGCCTATCCCGCGGCTGGGGAGGGCGTCTTCAGCTCAGCAGGACGGGCAGCTTTGAGGGAGTCCTTAGACCGGACTTCTAACAGTCCCTCACGTCAGGTCTCCGCCTCTCCTTCCCTGCAAGGTGACGGGTGGCTGCCTGCGGAGGATGCCTAGAGATGCCCTGAATCACTAGTGTTAAATACTCAGCAGGGCTGCAGGCTGTGCTGTGCTTTCAGGCGCATTATCTCCTGGAGTCTTAGCAACAGCCCTTTCATCCCCAGTTTAAATGGGAGGAAACCACAGGGCAGGTGGTTCGGTGAGCATGTTGCACAGCCTTGGGAGGAGGTGGGACTTGGACTGGGTCGGTTGGATTTCAGAGGCTGCAGGGGCTCCTCCCCACTGCCTTGGTGGTGCCAGAAGTGCCTCCCAAGGACAGAGCTGAGAGTCGCTGGGCTCTGGTCAAATGTTTACTGCCCTTCACCCCCAGCTGAACTCTGGCCTGGCCTTGCAGGTGTCCAAGGCTGAGGACACAGGACATCAGGGTCAGCTGGACGCAATTTGGCTTTGTAGGAAGAGGCTCCAAATCTCCCTCTAGGCACATAGGTCACTTGCCTTGGGTTGGTGCCAGAGTGGTGACAGGGGGCACGGAGGGGCTGACTTTCTAAGAAAGGACCGTCATGAGCTGCCTCAGCTGGTCAGCCCACGTGTCCCTCCCTGTGCTTTTTGCCTCCTGCTCTCCCTGGCCACCTCACCTCAGAGGGCAGCACACACAGGCGCTCCTCGCGCCTCCCTCCCTGCATCCCTGGGAGATCACTGGCTGCCTTTCACCAGACTACAGTGGGCCTCCTGCTGCAGGGGGACAGACCCTAAGCATCAAATTTAGAGTCTCTAGATTCCTAGCTTAGGACACTGCTCTGCTGGATGTGGTGAGGCCATATGAATGTCACGTCCTTACAGCTCTCTTCTTCTCCGTACTCCCGGGTCCCTGGGTGCATGATAACTTTTTTTTCTTTCTTTTTGAGAGAATCTCACTCATCTGGCTCCCAGGCTGGAGTATATTGGCGCCATCTTGGCTCACTGCAACCTCCACCTCCCAGGTTCAAGCGATTCTCCTGCCTCAGCCTCTTGAGTAGCTGGGATTACAGGTGTGTGCCACCATGCCTGGCTAATTATTTGTATATTAAAAAAAAAAAAAAAAAAAAGCCTGTTGCCCAGGCTGGAGTGCAATGGCAAGATCATGGCTCACTGCAGCCTCACTCCTGGCCTCAGGTGATCCTCCGGCACCAGCCTCCTGAATAACGGATTACAGGCATGTGCCACCATGCTCAGTGAATTGAAAACTTTCTTTTTGGGAGAGATGGGGTCTCACTTTGTTGCCTAGGCTGGTCCGGAACTCCTGGCTTCAAGCAATCCTTCTACATTGGCCTCCCAAAGTGCTGGGATTACAGGCATGAGCCACCATGTCCGGCCACGTGACAATGTGAAAGCTAGACTTGTTGCTTGGTCCTTGGTATCCTTGACCTAATGTGCTAGAATCAGGGGATGCACGCCCAAACACTCATTGGCCAGGTCACATGATTTAGCCAGGAACATAATTTAGGGAATGGGCAGGGTTTGCGAGACACACAGGTGAATGGAAGGGGTGGCCCTGCTCTAGCAGGTTGCTGGGATGCAGGAATGGGAAGGTTGTCCAGGTCACGGAAGTGCGTCCTCCACAGCCGGGGGAAATGGACACCAGCCTCCTGAGCACTGGCTGGGGGAGCAGTGGGTTGCCTTTACTAGCCAAGGCAGGAACTCAACAGCGACACCTTGAAGACTAAAATGCTTCTATTCCATCGCATTACCAAACATCTTTTTGAAATGCATCACCCAAGTCAGCCACCCCTTGAAAAACAGTTTTCTAAAGACTCATTTCTCCTCAACTAAACTCTTTATTTTTGGTTTGGTTTTTAAGTAGGCCATGGTTGCTTTGAGGCCACTGTATGGTGGCCAAACTATAGATGAAAGAGCTTTTATTAAAAAAGGCACTGATGGGAGACACTGCCTGCCCCAGATCCTTTGCCCTCCCTAAGAGCAGCCTCTCAGTTCCCTTTTGAGGAGCCCCCTCACCTCCACCAGATGTGGGAAGAGAAATGGGGTCCCTGTTTCTGGATTCCCAGCATGGTCAGGGGAAGATCTATGACCTGGGCTTGGCCACGGGGGCTCTCAGAAGGCAAGGCCTGGTTGGAAGGTGGTGGTGGTGGGTGGAAAGCTGAGCAGATTCTGGGATTACCCCACCTCATGTCCTAGTAACTTCCCTTTGCTCTTCCAGTCTTAGATTCTGTGGCTTGGACCATTGATGCCTATGCTCTCAGAAGATACAGCATCAAATGGTGTGGAGAAAGGCCCCGTCCTCAAGATGTGTTCCCACATTGCTTCACCTTCTTAGGGAGCCGCCACAGTGAGCTCCGCATGGCCTCTCCCTTGATCAGACCCGAGGCTCCTGGGTGGACCTCCCCTTCTCACTTGTAGTTAAGGAAGCCGAGGTCCCACTGGATTAGGTGTATGTCCAAGATCTCCAAGTACTAGAGGAGTCTGTTTTAGTCAAGGGAGTTATTTAAACCGAAGGAACATGACCAGCCTCATCTCTGACTCTTGGGTTAGAAGATGAACTGTGATGGGCTGATGCTACCTCAGCTTGGGACGTTTAATTGCTGGGTGAAGCAAAAAACCAAGTTGGTTAAGGTTTACTAGGCATCCCTTTGCGCAGGGCCCTGGCTGGCACTCGTGCCCTGTGGGCTTGACAGCTGGTGGTCCCTGCTCTCTGGAGAGGAAGGTGTCTTTGGATGAGGGGGTTGGGGAGGGGAGTCGCAAGACAGAGGGAGTGGGGTGAGGCTGTGGGTCAGCGGTCACCCTGGCTGGCAGCTGCGGTGAACGCGCTGAGCTGTCTTTGTGCTCAGGTGAGCAGCCTCTGACCACCACGGCTGCAGAGGTCCCTGGGAGTCCTCTTCTTGTGCCTCCCCTGAGGGATCCGCAGGGGTGGAGGCTGCACAGAAGAGGCCGGAGCGCTTGAGTTGTCAGGAAGGAGGAAAAGCACTACTTACAAAGAACTATTCAAAATGCACTCGCCCAGCTGTGAGCTTCCTTGTCACTGCTTCCCAGGGACAGAGTCTGAGAAGAAAGCCGATTTGACTCAGGTGCCGCTCCCCAGCGGGCAGGGAAAGGGGGCCCCCTTCGGACACCCCCGAGTCTCTAGTTGGAAGGCTGCTTGTTTTGGGGCTCTGCCCGCCACAGCTTCCACGCGTGGAGGGGCGGCCGAGCTGTCATGCAGCAGTGTAAGCTGGCCTGCCACTCGAAGAAGCAGCGCCTGTCTGGAAGGCTCCTGGCCTCTGTCCATGTTCTGGCCGGGGTAGAAATAGGGACATCATTTCAAGTGAAGAGCAGACAGTTTTCTCAGGACAAGCAGGTCTGGCTCTTGGCATTTTGCTTCTGGATCCCAGTTCTGTGGGGTGAGAAGGAAACGTGTTAGAGGAAGACACTGCAGAGGTGATGCAGGGAGGTGGGGGACAGGACCCATGCTTTGGGCTCCATCTTGGGGATGGCTGCTGTCCTGAGCCGGGGGCTCCTTCTCCCCGCTGGCAGGTTGGCAGCTCTGGAGGGGTGTGATTCCATCACGGAGCTCGCAGGGACTCTGCCTGTGTGGCCTTCCGCATGGAGGTAAGAGTTGATTGTTAAGGTCCATGATTCCTCTGCTCTAGTTGTCAGACCAGCTCGTATAACCTAAACAGCTGAGATTTGTCTTTCCCTTTACAACAATCAAGATGCTGGGGGTCCCCGGGCCGGGCGCGGTGGCTCAAGTCTGTAATCCCAGCACTTTGGGAGGCCGAGACGGGCGGATCACAAGGTCAGGAGATCGAGACCATCCTGGCTAACCCGGTGAAACCCCATCTCTACTAAAAAATACAAAAAACTAGCCGGGCGAGGTGGCGGGCGCCTGTAGTCCCAGCTACTCGGGAGGCTGAGGCAGGAGAATGGCGTGAACCCGGGAGGCGGAGCTTGCAGTGAGCCAAGATCCGGCCACTGCACTCCAGTCTGGGCGACAGAGCAAGACTCCGTCTCAAAAAAAAAAAAAAAAAAAGATGCTGGGGGTCCCCTATTCATGTATGGGCAGGGCGGGACCAAGGGGAGGCACTGAGTGGCTGCTGCTCACCCCCAGGACTGTGGGGGACCCCGGGGTGCTGGGGTCAGGCTGGAGACAGGCTCACCGTTACAGCCGCTGAGCCCCGTGCAGGTCGTAGTCACTGTCGGAGGAGTTGTCAGGCTGTGTGGACGAGCGATGCAGGGCCCCTTCCAGAGCTGGGGAAAGAAAGGACGCTGTTTGCAGAGGGTTTGTGACTCCACAGAGCCCCTTGGGTCCTAGAGCCGCTGCCCAGCGGGTTGGAAGATCACAGCGGCTTTATGAGCCAGTGACAGCCCGGTATCTGTTTTGATCAGATCAGCCAAACATTCACTA